TGCCACGCTGATTTCTGCAATGATCTTTTCCTGCCCTGCTGGGGGCGCTGCTCAAGCCCTGGAACATCCTCTTCACAGGCTGTAATGGGATTTCTGTTCCAAATGGGGATAAAATGTCCTCTCGGAAATGTGAATTTTCAAGTTCTGAAATTCTGCTTTTTCTGCTTTGAAACTGTAAAATCAAGGCCATATGTTCCTGGTCTTGCGTTCTGATACATTACTTTATAGCATGCACTAAATATTCACTGCTAGGGCAAGACAAACTAAAAGCCTTACTAGTCTGTTAATTTTAATTTATTGCTAAAATCAGTGCAAGACATTGCTCTGATGGAAATCTCTTACCTTTTTTTAATCTCAAAGTGCCTCTTGTTTGCTTGTGTCCAGCAGTTGCATTAGAATACAAAAGGAGACAGATCTAGAAAACAGTTCAATAACTCGTTTGTAGCAGACTTCCTTAAAGATTTTAGCCTTACAGTATCACTGCTTAGTGCAAAATAAAACAAATATAAGGCAAAATAACTACTTTAAGGTAAATTTTAAAAAATATGAAACAAAAATTGAGAACAACTTGGAATTATTTTTGCAGCTCAGCTTGTCATAAAACACATAGGATTTCCCTCAGAGTTTTACTAATTATCAACTACAGCACAGATAGGTCTTCTCTCATCAGTGTAATGGCCTCCTACTAAAATTTGTCTATTTTTTCTTACATACAACTGGTTGGTAACATAATGGCAAATGCTTTTACACAACAGCTCGAGCCATGTGAAGGAAACCTAAGTCTCTTCTTCATGTTCCAAGTTCTCTAAAATTTAGTGTATGTGCTCAGACAGAAAGCTGTCTCCTTGTATACTGACATTGTTATATATTTTCAATTTATATTGATTAGTAAGTAAATCAATAAGGTAATTAGAACCAACAAGTTGGATAAGTTTCTGTGAAAACGTCAATAAAAATCTATCTAATACTAGGATAGTAAAAATCAATCTTTGATTTGTTTATATCAACAATTTCCAATAACTTACCATCCTTCTGGAAAGTTCTGGGTCAGCACTAACTTTCCACAGCCACTTTAACAGAAGAGTTGACTGTACATGACTCACAGGGCTCCTTTCCCCTCCATCCTTTACACCACCAGTGTACGTGCTCCTTGGCTTTCCCTGCAAATATAAAAACTAAATACACACTCTGAAAAAAAAAAACAACAGGAAAGTGGCAACGCAGGTTTATCATTCTTATGCCCCCTTCTCTTGCAGGCAGAGGAACCCTGTGGGGGTTTCCACCCCGAGCCCCACAGCAATGGAGTCTTTACAATAACAGATGGACAATGACATACTTCTGTTTTACAGACAGAAAGAAAAACTTAAACAAACCAGGTTGGAAGTAACCACAACAGCTGAGGATGTGGAGATCCTCAGCTCATTTTCCACCTCCTGGAGAGTCAGTGGGACAAGTCTCCTGTTTGCAAAGAACCAGCCTTTTGGCAAAGCAGCAGGCCCATCACCAGCTCTCCAGACAATTAGAACATACAGGATTTCTTCTTATGCAGCTCCAATGCTTTATCCCACACAGTACAAACCTGAGGAGAAGGACACCAAATTTTGCTTCAGTTCCTTTTCTGTGAATTAGAAACAACTGCTTTCCTCTAGACTCTGTTCTTCAAAGTTCATCTTCCCTACCCATAGACGTATCTGTATTTTAGATATATCTTCAGTGACCACATTTATAAAAAAGTATCACATGCCCACGTTACTTTAATCAGTTCTCAAAGCCAGCTGTGGAAGATGTCTATGCATGAAAGTGGTGAAGTTTGCACTGTGTGACACTGGACATCTCTTGCCCCTGGGACAAGGAAACATGGTCCAGGCTGGAACCTGCCTGGCTGGTCCCAGCTACACACGAAAGGAGGGAACTCAGTGACATCTAGTGTTCCCTGCCACAGCCCAGCAGGCAGCACACCCCACTGCCTTGTCAGACCCATCTCCTGAAACCCAGGCTTCTATTTATTGGCCACATAAACACAAGTTATTTAAGCAAGAGGTACAAATTATGATGAGGGTCATGAATTTTTACAGAAACCAAACCTGCTCTCCTAGCTGAGAGACACCGTGTGGGATAAACGCCGCTGACAGGGCACCTAACTGGTTCATTCTGAGAAGAGCAAGAATCATTACTGGCAGAGCTCCTGTGAGCTAACCTGGCTCCAGGGTCTGTGCCACATCCAGATACAAGCAAATACAAAAACATGGCAATTCAGAGCAAACAGGAGGCTGCTCAGTCTCATTGGATTATTAGTCTTTTTTTTCCAAACTAAAATCAGTGTAGTACACATATATACAGGTATAACATACCTGGATTTGTTAAAGGTGAACGATTTGGATCTCCTACGTACATACATATTTATCTTAACCTCCCTTTTTCTTTTTTAAAGTATTTAAGAGCTATCCCACAGATTGGTTATTTCAGGAGCTGAAAATGTCTCTGACAATTTTTACTGAGCAATTTCTGGATATGAACAGGAGAGCCCCATGGGGAGGTGACAGTGCCTGACCCCTTCCACCTACACCACCCAAACTCTAACTCCTGACTTGCAAGATGCACACTTTTGGGACAGAATTCAAAGAGAGAAACTGCCACTGGAAACCTGTCTGTGCTTGCCTGTGCTGTGCAGATGGGGGTGACTGTCACCCGGACACATCACAATGCATCACCTCTGCTGGAGCCAACGCTGTCACCAGGAGACGAGCAAATATGGGGCTTTAGCTGACACTGATTTCACTGCACTCACTACACGGGCAGCTTAGAAAGGGATGTCTGTACTTGACTGGCCCGTTGTGGTTGAGAACCTCCCACTTAAATTGATGACTTAAATACATTGAGGATTTAACATCACTATTACCGATACCTTGCCAATTTGTTTTTAACTGCATTTTTATTATTCTTTAACCTTTAATTAGTGCCACACAATTAGCAGCTGTGTCTTTAAATTTGTCTGGTCTATTATCTTTAATAGCTTTTATTTATAAAGACTTTCTTAAGTATTCCTTTCATTCATCCTAAATGACTGAATAGCATGCTAGATTCAAGTCACCTTATCCCATGGCCTCACTCATGTCCCCTGTACTTGTCTGCTGCCACTCTACTGTCTGTCACCAGTTTGAATCTGCTTCACAAAATCAAAGGAGTTCAAATAATCCTGAGCAATGAATCGAGGGGCATGTGCTGTGGTTCCAGACAGACTCTGGCTAAAGAGACAATTCAGGACAGAAAGCAGCAAGTTAACAATCTGCCCTCTTTCCAGCAGGAGTGCTGAGCTCCACTGAGGCTTGGAACTCTCAGAACTGATCCCAGATATTTGACTTTAGAGATGATGATAATCCGGGATTTCTTCCCTTAATGAATTTTTTTAAATTAAGTGGAGGTTGCAGATAGATACAGATAGATACCTGTTATCCCACAGTGCTCCCAGTCCCATCTCGCTGTAGTGGGATACAAGCCTCGCTTTCCCCAGAACGCTGTATGATTTCTCCATCTTTCTCTGTCTGAGATGCATCTTCTAGCCCCAAATGCAAGAGAAGTGGGTAGGTGATAACTCCTACTTGTGTGGAGCAGATCATCTTTATGTGCCAACATGTTCAGGTCTCTTCTGTTTCCAGCTTTGCTAGACCTGTGTGGATAAACAAAAATTACACAACTAATCTCACAGTAAGAAAAAGCTATTATTGCATTAAAAAGTAACCTTTTTTCACGTGTTGAGTTGCAACAACGTGCCTCAGTTTCACCCTGCCATGCTCTGGAGAACATTCCCAGAGATGCTGTGGGGACAGCTCTCACTGCCAGTGCATCCCTGCCCTCTTCCCCACCGTCTCCTCAAACCACCAGACACAACGGCAGTAGGATGGGATGCTCAGCCTGCGGTGCTGATGGGCTAAGAATAAAATCAGAGGTGTCCAATGTCTCACAGCAGTAACTAAGACTTTGGACAACCAATCTGAGCAAACCTGATGCTGAAAAATGAATAAAAAGCATACGCACGTGCCCGTCAGCCAGAGTCTGCTTGGCGCAGCAGGAGCTGGGCGCACTTTGGAGCTAGTGAGGGGCGCTGAGCACGCAGCTTCAACACCTCTTCCTTCTAGGGACAGCAAGAAGTCAGGTCTGGTGTTTTCCACAGGAAACTGGTGTCTCTTCTGAGCAGGCTGGTGCCCGGGTGGCAGAGGTGGCTGTCCCCAGGCTGCTCACTCCCTGTCTGTGCAGCCAAGAGACGGCCGGGGGGAGAGGGCTCGGCTGGGCCACGCGACCTGGTCAGGCACCGGAGTGAGACCAACACCACGTTTCACACAGACATCTTTATTTTCACATTTCTGCATGAACGCAAGAGAATGTTCTTTTTCCTGGGATGTGCTGGTAGACATACTATACCCTACAGAATAGAGTTTAGCAATTCTTTTTATATATATATATATATATGTACAGACATATATATAGTCTTGCAAATTTTCTTCTGCATTTTTCCATGTGTCAGGATGGATGTCTATAACAAATTAGAGATAAAGGGACACAGAGAGGTTTTATTTTTCTTATCTCTAAAATAAAATGCCTTTTTTTTTTTTTTTACTTACTTGCCTGTTCCCCTAGTTATACTTAAGCAAAAATGCTGAAGAGAAACCACATGCCTACAAGCCTTCAATCTTTACTACTCTGAGATATTATCAGTGATGCAGGTAGAACATTTTTAAACTCTTATTTACACAAGGGCTGGGCTATCAGTTAGGCGTATGTCACTGCACCAAATCTAAGAGCACCCCTGAATCAGTGATGCAAATAAATCATTAGCATGTAAATGTTACACTCACAGCACAGTTCAGCAGTTTAACAGCCTCTATGCAGATAGATATGTGTTTGTAAGAGTCCTGCTTTTAAAAGTTTCCCTGTAAATTTTTAACCTGACAGTGTCCCTTAAGAAAAAAAAGTACATACTGGCTTAAGGAAGGACACCTTCCTACAGATATTGTCTTTTTATTATTAAAACCAACATTTTTAAAACCATTCAACAAAATTTCATACAAATTACCATTGGAGAATAGCATTTGTGAAGCTATGCATTGCTGCTCCATTAACATGGCTTTAGTTATCACAATTTATATTATTTGCACATCTCCTCAGGTCTTTCATGGCACTTCCACGAAGAAGGCAAAAAGGTTGTTACACTGCTGCTACCACCTTATCAGAGGTCTCACATGGACACAAAGATGCTTGTTCTCAACACGTGCCACAGTCAGGCAATGCCACAGTTCTGCCCACAATGCTCGAGCCTTGGGATATCCGTACTCAGGATTAGAGCTTGACTCGTGATTACTCACAATATTGCAATGCATTCAAAGGAACAGAAAAACAAACATCAACAGTAACAGGCACATTATTATTTTTTTTTGCATTATCATTAATCACATTCCTATTTTTCAACAGATGGTTGCCTAAAATGCATGTTAGAAAGACTTTTTTTTTTTTTTTTTAGAAAAGGCTGGCATGAAAAGTGCAGACTAATGTTTGTAACTAACGAAACAGTCAGACTAATGATTCAGACGTTACTTAAACATTCACAACTTTGAGAAAATGTGCACAGCTGATAGCACTGACAGATAGTCTAACTGTAACTTAGAAGCCAGCTTAGTAACTACCTTCCACATACTGGCAGTAGGCTTTATGATGGGATGAGATTAGAATAGCGTACTATGTTTTATTTAGAAAGCTGCAGCAGTAAGTATTTGCCATAAATATTGCAAGCCCCATTTATGAGCGATGGGAGGCTTTGCAGGTTTACAAAGTAACATTCACGGAAAACATAAAAAAAACCAAACCCAAAGACATTTCCATGCAGAGTACGATTCTCTCACAGTCACTGGAGCTCTGTCATCTGTTGGCTGGAGCACACACGTCATACACACGTATGGTACTCACAGAAAACCCACAGGCCACCTATGCACTGATATGTACCAGTCTCTGGCTGGTGTCAGTGGGATCAGAGGCAAACACAGGATAATAAATGCTTTTGCAAAGGCAATGACTCTGCCACAAACCATTTTCGACTAGAGCTCTGTGAAAATACAACTGCTGGGTGTCACTTCACCACCCCTCCTGTCTCAGCTACACTGGACCTGGAGTGGAGCAGAGAGGTAGTGACCCAGGGCTGAACACCAGGTATGCACAGGTGGGGTCTGGACTCCTGCAGGACTGCAATCATCATTATGCCTGAAGAGCAGAGTCAGGACCAGGCATTCAGCATCTCCCTCTCTGCCTAAACCACCCCCATCAGCACTGGGAGCTGAAAACTGAGGCTGTGGAGATGCTGGAACTGCAGGGTCACTGATGGGAGCCTGGTTTCAGCAATGCACTTCAGCACGTATGGAGAGGAACACCCAAACCTTTGAAGTACGTTGCCAAACTGGGGTCACACTCAACAGAAAGCAGTTGTAGCCCCTATGAGTCGGGCACCCCCGTTCCCCCCTTACAGAACTTCTGCTACTAGAGACACAGAAAACATTGCTGAGGGCAAATTCATCACAGTAACTCCAGATATTAATCTAGCTTCAGGGACTATGGTGCCACACAACTAATAACGTTTCCTTTTGAAAAGGGCACATTCAAAATGTTTCAGGCTGTATGTGCCATCTCATGAGCATGTTTGGAGCAACACTGTTAGAGGAGAAAGGCACTGTGCTAGCCCAATGCAAAGGACTAGATGATCTCTAGAGGTCCCTTCCAACTCTGACAATTCCGTGATTTGCGTGTTTTCCATTATCTTGCCCACTTTTCCCTCAGCTGAAGTTAACTGCTTAGACTGATAATAAATGCTCTTTTGGTGTAGGGAAAAAAGCAGGTTATTCAGTACAATAAATTCGGTTATTTGCTAAAGCGATTGCAAGAAGAATCAAGAAGGAAGAGTGTAAACATGGTGCCTTATTTCAGCTACAACTGATGTATTTATCAAGTGCCTATTGAATAAAAACTAAATAGACCATACCGGACAACTGGAGGACAAAGCTACTCCCACAGCATCTCATCACTTCTGCAAGTCACAGCACGTTACTGGAGCTGCTGTGCTCTGTGCCATTGCCAGGAAGGAATTAATTAACAGCATTTGTATGAAAGGCAATGAATAGGATAGACTAGGGTGTCATTCACATGAAGGTGTAACTTCACTCACTTGGATGGCACTTTTGATGACCTGTGAGCAACTGAAAGGAATGAAGTAAAGACTACATAGAAGTGTATGGAGGAGGACAGTAAAAGGGGATAATGTCCCATCTTGGGAAATTAGCATAGCATTTCACTAGTGCTGATTAGATCTACTTCTATAGTCAGGAATACTTCCATAGATTAAATTTTTATAAAATATAGGGCTACAGAAATGAGGCATTCTATATATTTTGTATTATAAAAAGCTTCCACTTACATAATTTTTAAAATATATCTTCACTGCTAACAGTATATTTGCAATATAGTATCTGGTATAATAAAAATATATGCTTACTGGCCGGGAGCGATGTAGCACTACGGCAGGGACTCTCCTTTCTGTGTGGTCTGAGCAGCTGGAGAAGTTGGCTGTTCCCTTCTTCCCTGGGTTTCTCAGCCATCAGCTGCCTGGAGACCGCAACGGCACTCTGCTGTGCTAACTTTCTTAAGAGTCCTCTGCAAAGCAAGCTCTGACACGTTCCTCAGCTGAAAAAATAATCTACTGGGCAAAACCCAACCTTGGTGTAAATTCACTACACGATTCTTTCTGCTTTACTAATTAAAAAACCCCAATCCCCAAACCAATGCTCTATTTGGCATTAGTAAGGAAATGGGACTTTTACAAGTCATGCAACTGCCTTGTAGGAAAGAAGAATTTGCTGTATAAAATGTCAAATTACCCAAAGGGACATACGGGTCTGGCAGTTAATGTACAGGGCACTTTGTGGGTGCCAAGATCTGCATGTGGAAACACAGTGGCACCATCTGGGCCCTCTTCTGCACTAAGGAAAACTGGAAAGCTTAAATAAATCCATAAAGTGGGTAACACCTTACTGTAACTTCCAATGCAAAAATACAAATGTTTGAATGCTGAATCTAGGAAGCGTGTGCCAAACTACACCTAAAGGCCCAGAGCACATGCCCGTGGTGCTGCTGAGACACACACTGGAGAATCACTTGGTGTCCCACCATGTGCTGGGACTGTGGAATGTGGCTGGGACTGGAGCAGGTATTCATCTTCTTGTACCAGCCCTTTACAAACCTGCCCTTGCAAGAACTTACCATCATTGAACAGGATTTGTTCTGTAGTGTGAAATTTGTATGTGCAACACATGTTTTGCTCCTTCCTGGCTCTAATCCTCTAGTTAACGTGTTCAGGAAAAACTCCAGCAAACTCAGCGTGGTGGCACCAGTGCATGTGAGAGGAAAAGCAGGATCTCTGCAGAAATGGGGATACTGGCTACGCAGGCTGTCTCCTTAGTGTCCTGGGTACATTTACTGTTCATTTTTTAGCAGACCGCCCTGTAGATGTGACTTTTGTCAAAGCAGATTAACGGCAAGGCATTCATAAAACATTTTGCCGAATGGTAGTATAGACTGAGCTTTTCACTGAACAATAGATGGCTGAGTAAGCTATCGACAGGTGCTATCATATGTAATCAAGCTCGCTAGATTAAAAGCAGGATTTGTGCCTAGCAAACAATGCTGTATATTACTCATTGAACTTCGAGCAGCAGTCCTCTCTTGTCGAGTTTTATTAAAATATTCACATGCTTCCAAAACGAAACAAAGGTCCACCGGTGTCTCTTGGGGAGAAGAGGTGGGATCGGTTGCATTCGGTCGCCATTTGGTTGGAGATGTCATACAAAATCCTCACACACTGAACATGGCTGAATTGTAAAAAGCTTTCACCCAGAAAGGAGGTCTTTGTTACACAGAAAGTCTCTGACTCCTCCAGCGCCCCCCAGACACGGTTACATCACGTTCTCAAAGAGCTGTAAGGATCGCATGATGTTGTCGTCCTGAAAGCAAGGAGAAGACATTTTCATAAAACCAGCACTGCCAAGCACAACTGGTAATTTTGCATGGCCCAGGAGGGGCTCTGCAGCTGCTCCTGCAGGCAACAGCCTAGATTTTGTAACGCTTTTCATCCTCCATGAGCTGGATTCGACTCAGCGATCAGATCCCGATCCAGCAACGCAGTAGTCTCTTACTTGGGCACCTTAGATGGTTTGAGGCATGCAACCACAGGAGCTTCTCATGAGCTTGACATTCAGCCTGGGCTGTGCTTTAACGAAGAAAATCGGACACCAGCATTGACCCTCAGGCTTCAGCGTCCAACTGCATTTCATTGAGCCTGAATATGCAAATACTCATGAAAAGTCCAAATGAAATTGCAGGTTTTGAACTGATAAGCAAGCTGCCCTGAAGGACCACTTCACTCCAGAAATACAGCCAACTGAAACCCAAAATACACGCAATCTCAGCCTCTCTGAGGTTCCTAAATCCAAATAAGAAAGTTGGAGACCCACAAGGGAAATCCCAGACTGTTTCTCATGAAGTCTTGAAATTGTACTTCAAGGTAATAACCAGAGTAATATTCAAAAACATAATGGTTATTTTTTTCCCTCTAGAAATTGAGTTATTCCAAAAATTAGAATAACTGTTTGCCTGTGACATGAAAATAATGTTCCTCATTAAGAAACTAAGAGATCTATTGAATCTCATTCCTCTACTTGATTTTGAGACTGCATCCCTCCATCTCGCTTTTCACACAATTTGGTGGGTAGTAGTACAAGGTACCACCTTACACGGGAAACCAATCATCCTCTCCAGAGCAATGCTAGGAGTTCACTTCCTATGTGCCACACCCTCAGAAATGGCAGAAGCAAGCACTAGAGCACACTTTGATTTCTTTCCCATAAAGAAAAAAAAGCAAATCCAAACCAAAACCACGTCTTAGTGTTACAGGGTTCACTCCCATCTGCCAGGACACCACACATGGCAGTATATGGGACTGCACAGCTCCAGGAGCAAGAATGTCAAAGAAAGGAACCAAACCCAACCTGGGGCAGAGAATTAAACACACTCCAACAGGCAGAAGTAAAGCTGCTTCAATACTGAGACCACTAATGACAGACATGCATCCAGCCTGAAGGCAAATTACCGATGTGAACACACAACACAAATAATCCAATTCAAGAGGAGACCAAAAATAAGGACCAAAAATAATAAAACAATCAGGACGGACGAATAATAAAGTAACTGAAAAAAAAAAATCATCTTGTATTCTGCATCTGCTAACAAGGATTTTGCTGCCTGAAGTCCCTGACTTAAAAGTAACCTGCGTATTGCCAGAGCCAGACTTAATGCAGGAACAGAGGGGAAGCCAGCCCAGCCCCCCGCAGTGAGCACCTTCCCATTGCTCAGCTACAGAAGAGCCCTCTGACTTTTCCAGGGAAAATACAATACACCGGAGGGCTCGTATGCAATTATTTGCACTACTGTAAATTTTCTAAAATGCACAGGCCATTATTGTACTGATTAAATATTAGAAATACCTGAACAAACATTCACAGAGTCGATTACAGTCTAAGACAACAGACACTTGGCAATTGCATGTTAATGCAGATGTCTTTGTGCCAGCGCTAAAAATATTTACTGTGCCAATATTTACTGCAGCCAACCTAACGTATGGAATTGCAAGAAGGACCTTATTTCCAAAAAAGAAAAAAAACCAATCATTGCTATGACGACAGCATTTCTTTTTAATGTTTGACCATGAAAACACCAACTGGTTTTGTAAGCCTGTGCTGTAAGTCCAAGGTTTTGAGAGACCTTCAGCTCTAGATAGTTCAACCAACATGGTATCTCCTAAGGAGTAATCTAATAAGGAGTAGCACACAGAGACAGTATCAGTGTCTTAAAAAATAACCACACAAAAAAACACCACAAAAACCAACAGCAACAACAAAAAAAACCACTGAAGAAGATTAAGGACATTATGACCTTTCTCTAAAATTATCTGCTGGTCTACAGAATCAGGCACTACAGTTCACTCAGGAAAATTAAAGCACTGGCCACCAACACTGGAAATGAAGTGGTCCTCTTCCATGATTTGCCTGACTCTACTTCCCTATTCAGTCACAGACTTCTTGGAGCACCACCAGAAACTCAGTCTCAAAGCTGGCTTTTTCACAGGGCAAAGGAAACCTGGGATCCTGAGCAGCATCTTGTTTCAAATGGAGTTTGTCCAGAGGGAAAGCAATGGCATGAGTTAGACCTTTCATTACGGTTATAATTTTGTCCTTACCTCCTGACACGATTCAATAAACTCATCTAAAGTTACAACACCATCTTTGTTTTTGTCCATTTTCTGCAAAATAAAATAAAAAAACTCCCATTTATTTCCATAGGTAACACTGCAGTGATAGTATAATATGTTATTTGTTGCCACCTGAATAAAGCCAGGGGACTTCACAAGCTTAGACTACAGACTCACTGTCACTGGACAAATTTGCCAACTGCCAAACAAGTAAACAATTTACTTGTTTACTCTAGTATTTGGAGCACTTTTGAGGTCATCTCCAACTATTCTTTGACATACACATCATCCTCCGCCCTCATTAGGTCATTTATTCATTCACTGCCTCACCAACCAGCACCCATATTCCTGTCTGTCTCTAAGGTTGGTTGAGAGAAGCAGCACAGAAGGGCTGCAACACATGCAGAGGCTTCAGACTTGCTGGATGTGGCACACCCCAATACCAAGAATCAGGCTGAGGGACAAATGGGATACCTTGGAGTCAGGAAATCAACAGACACCGTAACGTTAGGCTGAATGGCTGCCAGGGTTTATTTTAGAATGTATAGTGGGGCATAGGATTGAACCTATCAGTGCATAGCTCACGTGTTAAGAAAAACACATCAAAAATCACCTACCTGGAAGAATACTTCTACATGTTGCCTTGGAGCATCTTCCTTGAGCACTGGATACGTGTACTTTCCCATCATATCATAAATTGCCTTTACAATATCCATCATTTCCTGCAGCAGTGGCATGCCAGCACAAACACAAAAGGGAAATTAAGAGAAATGGGAGCACAATTCTTTCTTTTGCTACCCTTTTCTTTAGCCTCCTCCTCCCGTTACGAAACAGAACAGAGAATGCCCACACATGTGCACAAAGACACACATGTATCATAGACAGGTTTGTCTATAAAACACAAGTGCTTCATTCTGATGGTGCCATGACCTTTCCACAGCACCACGGGAGGTGCCAGCAGTGCTCACCTCCCTCCTCTGCCCAGGCTGCACTGCAGGACTCACACTGACACAGCAGCTGCTGGGGACAGTGCTGGGCTGCAAGTGGCATGCTCAGTCCTGAGTATTGTGGCCCAGACCTTCATGACAGAGCCTCCTCCAAGGCCAGGGACCTTCACAGCAGTCACTGAGAACCCAGCCCTTCCCCACACCTTGCACAAACTGCCACACATCTGGTAGCAGCAATTGCAAACCCTCCAGGTACACACAATAGTTTTGAGAAGATAGACCAAGATGTATGTATCTCTACTTTGAGGGTGGCAGAGCACTGGAAGAGACTGCCCAGAGAGGTGGTGGAGTCTTCTCCACAGACATTCTAGACCATGACCCGCCTGGACCCGTTCCTGTGCAACCTGCTCTGGGTGGACCTGCTTTGGCAGGGGGGTTGGACTGGATGATCTCCAGAGGTCCCTTCCAACCCCATATGATTCTGTGATTCTGTATTAGCAAAATATTCAGGTTATTGTGCTCAAAACCCAAGGCTTCCCACAAAGGGAACAAAGCGAACCCAAATAAGAAGATAAAACCATATGATAATGCAGGATTAGGGAGTGGTGCCGGGGGCTTGCAGTGCTTCAGACAGCCCAGAGAGGTGGTGAAGTCTCCTTCTCTTCCACAGACATTCTAGACCATGACCCGCCTGGACCCGTTCCTGTGCAACTGTAGAACGTGACCCGCCTGGACACAATGGCACAGGTTCCTGTGCAACCTGCTCTGGGTGAACCTGCTTTGGCAGGGGTTGGACTAGATGATCTCCAGAGGTCCCTTCCAACCCCATATGATTCTGTGATTCTGTATTAGCAAAATATTCAGGTTATTGTGCTCAAAACCCAAGGCTTCCCAGGTAAAATATTTGGGTTATTGTGCTCAAAACCCAAGGCTTCCCACAAAGGGAACAAAGGGAACCCAAATAAGAAGATAAAACCATATGATAATGCAGGATTAGGGAGTGGTGCTGGGGGCTTGCAGTGCTTCAGGTGAACCCACACCATACCTCCCAGTGCAGCCTGAAACCCCTCACGACTCAGTCACTGAGTAGCTATTGTCACCATCACCCTCCCCTTTGCAAAGGTTATGTTGCTCATAGCTGTAAACTAGGGCTTGCTCCTGGGTAAGGCAATCCATTAAAGGCAGTATAATAGAGAAAATATGTCTACAAACCTATGCAATGTAAGATCGCTGTGCAATTTACACAGATAAATGCTCAAGTCCAGTCTCATTTGCATTTAATTAGCTACATGTAAAATTAACTATGCTCTGCAACAGAAACCAGTTGGCTCTCTTTAGCAATCAGCCCCACTTGTTGGAACCAGCCTTACCTCCTTGTTTATATAGCCATCCTTATTTATGTCGTACAGATTAAACGTCCACCTTAGCTTCTCATGAACAGTTCCCCGCAACAGAATGGACAATGCCATCACAAAATCCTGGGTCAAGGCAGAGAGAGAAATGTGAATTTTCATCACATCCTTTTCTAAGTCATCTTCTTTATATAATGCCAGTCAAAAGACTTACCATTTTAGAACAACACATGTGGCTATCACCCTCTTTTGATTCCCTTTTCCAAAAACACATACTCTCTGATGGAGCTTAATGGACATAATATCTGCTAGGATGATCTGAGTACTGTCACACTAATAATGTGTATGAGATAACCAGAAAAATCAGAATTCTCTGATGGAGCTCAATGGACATAACATCTGCTAAGATGATCTGAGTACTGTCACACTAATAAATGTGTATGAGATAACCAGAAAAATCAGAAAAGTCCTCAAGTACTCAACTGCAACCACTGCAAAGGCCAAGCTTGTGATATAAAGCCAAGCTTAGCCAGGTTGGAAGGGCAGAAAGACCTAAGGGGTGCTGCAGCCTTAAACTCTCCTAGTCCTGGGGTGAGGGGTGTGAAAACACCGTGACAGTAAGAGCAGATCCAGTCCAAGACAGGCAGACCAAGGTCCTAAAGTTGATAGGACATTGGCTGCTCTGGCTCCTTGGTTCTCGCAACACAGTATGCTCAAGGCCAGAAGATGGGACACCTTCCTGGCTACCCATCCAACTTTGTCATGTTCCAAACACTAAATACCACATGACTGTAAGCATAGCAAAATACATGCCTGGTTTTTCAGAGCACTGCCATGTGCTCCAGTGGCCTTTCCTCTGCTAAAAATGGTCTCCTGCAAGGAGGAGTCACTCAGATTGCCACCACCTGGTTAAACACAGCTTCTTACCCACACATCTTGAGTGCTATCAAAGGAGGAGGAAAATCCAGCCTTTTTTCTGTGCCCACTTTGAGAGAGATGGAGACATCCCAAATTCCTCTATCACGGGGAGCCTCAGGTTTTAGGTTCTGGCAAAATCTGTCAGACTTGACCAGATGCAATTCCCACCACTAATTACTCGGTCTGGGACACAACATTTTAATTGTATTTTTTGTTTACAGTAAAGTTATTACATCTAATACTTTGAATTATAGTTTATACCGCACAACGACTCAGGCACTGTAAGCAGCATCTCTACAAATACTTTGAATTATTGTTTATACCGCACGACTCAGGCACTGTAAGCAGCATCTCTACAGGGATTTATTAGCACAGACAGAGCTTCAAGCTAACAGAGCTATGGAGTTCTGGATACCTCATTTAAGGTACTTAGCCCTTCCTATGTTATCTCCATTAGTTATGCATGGGGCAGTGCAGCACTTCTTAGAAACCTCTGCACCTTCTTCCCAAGGCTCAGAGGAATTTGAATTTGCTGAACAATACAAAAAAGGGGACAAAATGCTTATGTTTGACAACCACTAAAGAGACAGGTTTGCCAAGAAGGAAAGCTCAGCACTTTTTTCTTTTTTAATACTTATCTAAGCATTTTCCATGTCTCAGTCTGTTTAGGTTTCCGGAAGCCTCTTACTACCAAGTAGTTGCCACACACAAAGCTCCTGCTACAGCCATCACCACAGAGACACACATATACATATTGCAACATCCCCATTTTACATTTGATAAATGAACTAATTTCTCAGTCTTACCTGGAAATTACCAGAGTTCTTGGCCATTTGACAGAAAAGACAAGACTGGTTATGATATCTAGTTTTATGATCACAGTAAACTGTCTTTAAAACTATGAAGTTCATCCTCCACAGGTCTATGCCTTCACATATCCCTTTGCTGCACTCCTACTGCTATGTGTGTGAGCTTGAAGGATGGCTATTTGTAGCCACAGCAACAGGCCTTTTAGTTAAAGGGTGGATTTGGTTTCCCTAGGAACGAAGTACCTGAGATGCTTCTTAAATATATCAAATAAGCTTAAAAAAACCACATTCCAGGAACATACAAATGTAACCCAGCAATGCACAATGTCTGCAGAAGACACACAATGTACTGGCTTTTCTTTGACATGCAAATTTTCTGTACAAATCACTGGTCTCTTTTCATAATGGACTGTCTTCAACCTCCCCTCTCTGCTACATAAATCCCTGCACTTTCTCCCTATGGTACTAACACAATCTATACATTTAGTGAAAAGAAACATGCAAATCCATCTGCATAAACTAAAGTGAACCAGATTTTAAACTATCAACTGATTTTAGACTGAAATTTCTAACCCATCACCCAACAAGACCTATTAGTTTACAATGAAGAGTGGACAGAGAAGCTTAAAAACACAAAGCTGAGGAAGAGCCAACAAAGAAAGATGCAAAACAATTACCTCAAACTTCACTGAGCCATTTTGTGCAGTGTCAAATGCATTAAAGAGATAATGTGCGTACATGCTGGCATCTGAAAAACACAAAGGACACCAATTGGTACAACAGTTGATGATATACTAATGGCTCTAAGCAACATTTGTGACCTTATTTTCCTTCTGTAAAAACCCAACCTCTAGTGCTGCTAGATATTCTATAACCTAGTAAATGTTAATATGGACCTGGATACTCCCCCTGCCCTCCCGTAAAACAGCCCTCAAATGTAAAAGCTTTTATAACAGTAGAAACAATCTGGATTATGGGGTTGCACTTGAAAGAATGAGGAAAAAAAAAAAATAAAAATTCCCAAGAGCCTCTCTGGGGCAAACGGAGTATTAGTTCTGGTGGGAAATGTGACAAAAGCACCCGAGAGTGATTGCAGCACGTCTGCTTCCTTCCTCTACCTTTCTCCTCTGTGTGAGATGCAGCAATGATTCCCAGGGACTGTTTGACTTCAGAAGGATCTAGTTGCAATAACATGAGTTTGCTCTTTAACAGTCATGGGCCAAACTCATACTTCCATCCTCTTGAATCTTAAACTGCTGGTTTTAGAAAACTCTTTTTTTATTGAACAGTTTCTCTGGCTGTATGAAGGATTGCTGTTAACTAGGAAAAACAGTCATAGTATACAGAAAAAAATATCAAATAGATGTATGACCTTATGACCTTCACTGGCCTGTTCTCTGCTCTGGAGACAATTCACACTGCTCTCTGCACTACCAGAGCTCACCTTTTCAAGATGGAAACAACTGACATTAAATTCACTTAATTATTTCACTCCTGTTCCAGCAGCCATTCATTTTTTTGTCTTTTCCATTCTTTGCCCCTAGCACACAGCACTAGTCTAGCCTGAGTGGTTGGATTCAGGTGAAGCCCTGTGCTGTGTCAGGTGGAAAGACACAGCATCTTTTTACTCTGATTTCTGTGAAATGATTAAATATTTTCCCATTATTTAAATCCAGGAAAGTGTTAACAGCATGCAGAAAAATTGTCACCCATAAGGACTGAATACACTAGAATTCAGGAAAAAAAAAAATAATCGGCTACTACATTTTTAAGAGAAGGATTATGAAATAAAATAGCTCCAGAAGAAAACCATAGATTTATTTGTGTGACACTCCTACAAAAAAACTCCTATTAAGCTAAACTAAACAATAAACTAAAAATATTAAACTAGAGGTCTTATTTCAATAGTGAATGATGTACATAGATCACTAGCATCATTTGACGGTCAGCATAAAACGAAGACCTGTAAAGGAGAGGAGCCCAACGTAACAAATATCACAAGCCTGGGATGACACTGCACAAAGTTTTTATAATTCAGAGATACTTTACTGCATCTGGAATGCACAAGTTTATTTGTATGGAGAGCCATAAAAGTGCAAAAATCTCTACGGAATCTGAAATCTCACAATTTATGACGCTAAGGTTATACAAACAGTCTGGAAACTAAGTGAAAGAAAACAGTGTAAGATATGGAATCACATCTGCTGTTAAACTGATTTATTATTAAGTACGGTTGTACTACCAGCATCATTAACCAAGGGAGAATCACATTGCAAGAGAATGAGACAAAAAAAAAAGAAAAAAAAAGAAAAAGCAAATCTTTGTCCATCTCAGTAGAGGGGGGAAAAAAGTTATCTATCCATGGAAAATGAAGGTTCTGTACCCAATTGTTTTTCACATATGTGAAGGAAGGAGTCACCCGAGCTGCGTTGCATCAGTGAGTTAATGCAGTTACTTGAGGTAACTGGAGTTCCTTGGACTTACTGGAACTTAGGTTGAAAACACACAACACATCCAGAAATACATTAGGATTAAAAATAATGAATTTTTTGCATATTTGTTAAAAAATTTAATTAAACGATTGGGAAGATGTTCCTGCTTATTGCAGGGGGGTTGGACTAGATGACCTTTAAGGGGGCCATTGCAACCCTAATTGTCCTATGATTTTATGACTTTTATAACAGAAACAAAAGCAACAGCAATAGGAAATCATCAAGTGCATACTGAAACGTAATGTCAACTGTTTATAGGTGAACATCTTTGAGGTCACATGCATTGTAAAACGTAAGCATAACATGTTTCATCTTGATTTTACTTGGGAAACCACCTGTTAATGACCTTCTTAAAGGAAATGCACGTGCACACATGGACTCTCACAGAAACTTCAGTTATCATTCCAGAGCGACAGTATTCTGCAACTACTACAAAGTGGAATATATTCAGAAAGCTTCAAGAACTGCATCATTGACCAAAAAGCAATTTAAACCCATGACTCATTTATTTTAATTTGAGAACAGTTTCCCCACAGAACATATCGGGTTTGAAGAACTTACAGATCCCTGATGTTTTTAAAAGAACATACATTATTTGAAATTTTTTATACAATACTCTATATATTCCAAAACATTAAGTGACTGTGTCTTAATTAGTCACACAAACAACAAAAATTATCATTTCAGGTAGCACACATCAACTAAGAGCTGCTTTAAGGCTTTTAGGGAGGTTTTGACTAATTTGCAGGCCAAAATGAGGTGTGGGGCTCTTCTGTGCTAGCTGTGACAAGCACAGCAGCCTGACAGCAGGGAAGTGACACACACGGAGGGGAAGTGATTTACTTTCTGCCATCCAGAGAGTCAGTACAGAAAAAAGCATCAATCCCCAGTTTCCACCTCAGACTAGTTCACTGTTTACTGGAGAATAAAGAGCTGACAACCAGGGACAATACTTAACGTGGGTTTGTCTATATTCCTGCGAAATGACTGTTCAAAGGACCTAACAATTTTATTACCTTCCTGTCTGTGCTTCTGATCCTGCAAAGCTTAAGCTCATTTCACATTTCTTACATTATCTGTAGCAGTTTTGCAGCCAGCTGGCAGTAATGAATGCTAAGGCATGCTTCAATAAACCCCACAGACGCAAAGTAATGCCGCTTACCTCCATGAGGAAAAAACTGTGCATAGATCTGTTTGAATGTTTCTTCATTAACAACCCCACTAGGACACTCCTGTTGGAAAATCAAAAAAGAAAAATCAAGGAAAAAACCCCAGCTCTATAAATGTTCATTTGGAAAACTCTACAAGCCCAAAGAGAGCAATTAAACAAATCAAATTCCTGTTCTCACAGTGCTCTGGATGCACAGGCTGCGCAGCTGAAGACATTAAAATAATTCAGACTGCAATTTCATCTTAAGTATCTCATAGACTTGGTTCACCATTATTAACATTTTTAACAGCGTTTTCAGCAGTGTCTAATCCCTGTTTTATCGGATGACCCAGAAAGGGAGTTCATGCCTTTTGTCATCCAAAGCTCTCATCCAATAATTACAAATAATGGTACTGCCAGCTAACACCTCCCTGTCGAATGCCTCCACATATATGAATGCATTAATCCTCAGCAGAAGACTGCAGCCAGATACCTGACAGCAGCTCCATGGAGGCCAACGGTACATACTATACTCGTAAGTCCTTACAAACAAGCATTAGTATTAGGCAGAAGAAGACTACATCCTTTTTAACCTGTTTATCTGATCAATCTTCTGTATTCTTCTGAGAAGCCAGAATTTTCTAATTTTCCAACCCGGCAAACTGCACCCCTGCAGTTTTCCTAACCTGGCAACCTATGGGGTTATTTTATTTTTAAATGTAAGGCATTTCATTTCACTTTTGGCTGCTTTGAATAAGGGCAAACACTTAGGGAGGTGGAAGATTTTCTGCCCTAAGCTTCCTGACCTACTAACTAGTGTTCAGGAAAAGGAGAGTACTCGTGCTTGCTCTGCTATGGCCCATGAAAATCCAAGCTGTAATGGTAGTTTGGGGTGGGAGATGCTCCCTGGGGATATTTGCAGAGTCTGGGCAGCACCTGTGAAAAGGGAGACGTGGCAGCTTCGAGGAGCTGAGGTGCTTTACCCTGTAGTTATACCCAAACTGAGGTCCTCACATACCTTGGAGTCAGGAAATCAACAGACACCGTAACGTTAGGCTGAATGGCTGCCAGGGTTTATTTTAGAATGTATAGTGGGGCATAGGATTGAACCTATCAGTGCATAGCTCACGTGTTAAGAAAAACACATCAAAAATCACCTACCTGGAAGAATACTTCTACATGTTGCCTTGGAGCATCTTCCTTGAGCACTGGATACGTGTACTTTCCCATCATATCATAAATTGCCTTTACAATATCCATCATTTCCTGCAGCAGTGGCATGCCAGCACAAACACAAAAGGGAAATTAAGAGAAATGGGAGCACAATTCTTTCTTTTGCTACCCTTTTCTTTAGCCTCCTCCTCCCGTTACGAAACAGAACAGAGAATGCCCACACATGTGCACAAAGACACACATGTATCATAGACAGGTTTGTCTATAAAACACAAGTGCTTCATTCTGATGGTGCCATGACCTTTCCACAGCACCACGGGAGGTGCCAGCAGTGCTCACCTCCCTCCTCTGCCCAGGCTGCACTGCAGGACTCACACTGACACAGCAGCTGCTGGGCTGCAAGTGGCATGCTCAGTCCTGAGTACTGAAGCACTGACCTTCAAGACAGAGCCTCCTCCAAGGCCAGGGACCTTCACGGCAGTCACTGAGAACCCAGCCCTTCCCCACACCTTGCACAAACTGCCACACATCCGGTAGCAGCAATTGCAAACCCTCCAGGTACACACAATAGTTTTGAGAAGATAGACCAAGATGTATGTATCTCTACTTTGAGGGTGGCAGAGCACTGGAAGAGACTGCCCAGAGAGGTGGTGGAGTCTTCTCCACAGACATTCTAGACCATGACCCGCCTGGACCCGTTCCTGTGCAACCTGCTCTGGGTGGACCTGCTTTGGCAGGGGGGTTGGACTGGATGATCTCCAGAGGTCCCTTCCAACCCCATATGATTCTGTGATTCTGTATTAGCAAAATATTCAGGTTATTGTGCTCAAAACCCAAGGCTTCCCACAAAGGGAACAAAGCGAACCCAAATAAGAAGATAAAACCATATGATAATGCAGGATTAGGGAGTGGTGCCGGGGGCTTGCAGTGCTTCAGGTGAACCCACACCATACCTCCCAGTGCAGCCTGAAACCCCTCACGACTCAGTCACTGAGTAGCTATTGTCACCATCACCATCCCCTTTGCAAAGGTTATGTTGCTCATAGCTGTAAACTAGGGCTTGCTCCTGGGTAAGGCAATCCATTAAAGGCAGTATAATAGAGAAAATATGTCTACAAACCTATGCAATGTAAGATCGCTGTGCAATTTACACAGATAAATGCTCAAGTCCAGTCTCATTTGCATTTAATTAGCTACATGTAAAATTAACTATGCTCTGCAACAGAAACCAGTTGGCTCTCTTTAGCAATCAGCCCCACTTGTTGGAACCAGCCTTACCTCCTTGTTTATATAGCCATCCTTATTTATGTCATACAGATTAAACGTCCACCTTAGCTTCTCATGAACAGTTCCCCGCAACAGAATGGACAATGCCATCACAAAATCCTGGGTCAAGGCAGAGAGAGAAATGTGAATTTTCATCACATCCTTTTCTAAGTCATCTTCTTTATATAGCGCCAGTCAAAAGACTTACCATTTTAGAACAACACATGTGGCTATCACCCTCTTTTGATTCCCTTTTCCAAAAACACATATTCTCTGATGGAGCTCAATGGACATAACATCTGCTAAGATGATCTGAGTACTGTCACACTAATAAATGTGTATGAGATAACCAGAAAAATCAGAAAAGTCCTCAAGTACTCAACTGCAGCCACTGCAAAGGCCAAGCTTGTGATATAAAGCCAAGCTTAGCCAGGTTGGAAGGGCAGAAAGACCTAAGGGGTGCTGCAGCCTTAAACTCTCCTAGTCCTGGGGTGAGGGGTGTGAAAACACCGTGACAGTAAGAGCAGATCCAGTCCAAGACAGGCAGACCAAGGTCCTAAAGTTGATAGGACATTGGCTGCTCTGGCTCCTTGGGCTTGCTAGGAGCAACACAGTATGCTCAAGGCCAGAAGATGGGACACCTTCCTGGCTACCCATCCAACTTTGTCATGTTCCAAACACTAAATACCACATGACTGTAAGCATAGCAAAATACATGCCTGGTTTTTCAGAGCACTGCCATGTGCTCCAGTGGCCTTTCCTCTGCTAAAAATGGTCTCCTGCAAGGAGGAGTCACTCAGATTGCCACCACCTGGTTAAACACAGCTTCTTACCCACACATCTTGTGTGCTATCAAAGGGGGAGGAAAATCCAGCCTTTTTTCTGTGCCCACCTTGAGAGAGATGGAGACATCCCAAATTCCTCTATCACGGGGAGCCTCAGGTTTTAGGTTCTGGCAAAATCTGTCAGACTTGACCAGATGCAATTCCCACCACTAATTACTCGGTCTGGGACACAACATTTTAATTGTATTTTTTGTTTACAGTAAAGTTATTACATCTAATACTTTGAATTATAGTTTATACCGCACAACGACTCAGGCACTGTAAGCAGCATCTCTACAGGGATTTATTAGCACAGACAGAGCTTCAAGCTAACAGAGCTATGGAGTTCTGGATACCTCATTTAAGGTACTTAGCCCTTCCTATGTTATCTCCATTAGTTATGCATGGGGCGGTGCTGCACTTCTTAGAAACCTCTGCACCTTCTTCCCAAGGCTCAGAGGAATTTGAATTTGCTGAACAATACAAAAAAGGGGACAAAATGCTTATGTTTGACAACCACTAAAGAGACAGGTTTGCCAAGAAGGAAAGCTCAGCACTTTTTTCTTTTTCCATGTCTCAGTCTGTTTAGGTTTCCGGAAGCCTCTTACTACCAAGTAGTTGCCACACACAAAGCTCCTGCTACAGCCATCACCACAGAGACACACATATACATATTGCAACATCCCCATTTTACATTTGATAAATGAACTAATTTCTCAGTCTTACCTGGAAATTACCAGAGTTCTTGGCCATTTGACAGAAAAGACAAGACTGGTTATGATATCTAGTTTTATGATCACAGTAAACTGTCTTTAAAACTATGAAGTTCATCCTCCACAGGTCTATGCCTTCACATATCCCTTTGCTGCACTCCTACTGCTATGTGTGTGAGCTTGAAGGATGGCTATTTGTAGCCACAGCAACAGGCCTTTTAGTTAAAGGGTGGATTTGGTTTCCCTAGGAACGAAGTACCTGAGATGCTTCTTAAATATATCAAATAAGCTTAAAAAAACCACATTCCAGGAACATACAAACGTAACCCAGCAATGCACAATGTCTGCAGAAGACACACAATGTACTGGCTTTTCTTTGACATGCAAATTTTCTGTACAAATCACTGGTCTCTTTTCATAATGGACTGTCTTCAACCTCCCCTCTCTGCTACATAAATCCCTGCACTTTCTCCCTATGGTACTAACACAATCTATACATTTAGTGAAAAGAAACATGCAAATCCATCTGCATAAACTAAAGTGAACCAGATTTTAAACTATCAACTGATTTAAGACTGAAATCTCTAACCCATCACCCAACAAGACCTATTAGTTTACAATGAAGAGTGGACAGAGAAGCTTAAAAACACAAAGCTGAGGAAGAGCCAACAAAGAAAGATGCAAAACAATTACCTCAAACTTCACTGAGCCATTTTGTGCAGTGTCAAATGCATTAAAGAGATAATGTGCGTACATGCTGGCATCTGAAAAACACAAAGGACACCAATTGGTACAACAGTTGATGATATACTAATGGCTCTAAGCAACATTTGTGACCTTATTTTCCTTCTGTATAAAACCCAACCTCTAGTGCTGCTAGATATTCTATGACCTAGTAAATGTTAATATGGACCTGGATACTCCCCATGCCGTCCTGTAAAACAGCCCTCAAATGTAAAAGCTTTTATAACAGTAGAAACAATCTGGATTATGGGGTTGCACTTGAAAGAATGAGGAAAAAAAAAAAATAAAAATTCCCAAGAGCCTCTCTGGGGCAAACGGAGTATTAGTTCTGGTGGGAAATGTGACAAAAGCACCCGAGAGTGATTGCAGCACGTCTGCTTCCTTCCTCTACCTTTCTCCTCTGTGTGAGATGCAGCAATGATTCCCAGGGACTGTTTGACTTCAGAAGGATCTAGTTGCAATAACATGAGTTTGCTCTTTAACAGTCATGGGCCAAACTATAAAAATTCCCAAGAGCATCTCTGGGGCAAATGGAATATTAGTTCTGGTGGGAAATGTGACAAAAGCACCCGAGAGCGATTGCAGCACGTCTGCTTCCTTCTACCTTTTTGCTCTGTGTGAGATGCAGCAATGATTCCCAGGGACTGTTTGACTTCAGAAGGATCTAGTTGCAATAACATGAGTTTGCTCTTTAACAGTCATGGGCCAAACTCATACTTCCGTCCTCTTGAATCTTAAACTGCTGATTTTAGAAAACTCTTTTTTTATTGAACAGTTTCTCTGGCTGTATGAAGGATTGCTGTTAACTAGGAAAAACAGTCATAGTATACAGAAAAAAATATCAAATAGATGTATGACCTTATGACCTTCACTGGCCTGTTCTCTGCTCTGGAGACAATTCACACTGCTCTCTGCACTACCAGAGCTCACCTTTTCAAGATGGAAACAACTGACATTAAATTCACTTAATTATTTCACTCCTGTTCCAGCAGCCATTCATTTTTTTTGTCTTTTCCATTCTTTGCCCCTAGCACACAGCACTAGTCTAGCCTGAGTGGTTGGATTCAGGTGAAGCCCTGTGCTGTGTCAGGTGGAAAGACACAGCATCTTTTTACTCTGATTTCTGTGAAATGATTAAATATTTTCCCATTATTTAAATCCAGGAAAGTGTTAACAGCATGCAGAAAAATTGTCACCCATAAGGACTGAATACACTAGAATTCAGGAAAAAAAAAAATAATCGGCTACTACATTTTTAAGAGAAGGATTATGAAATAAAATAGCTCCAGAAGAAAACCATAGATTTATTTGTGTGACACTCCTACAAAAAAACTCCTATTAAGCTAAACTAAACAATAAACTAAAAATATTAAACTAGAGGTCTTATTTCAATAGTGAATGATGTACATAGATCACTAGCATCATTTGACGGTCAGCATAAAACGAAGACCTGTAAAGGAGAGGAGCCCAACGTAACAAATATCACAAGCCTGGGATGACACTGCACAAAGTTTTTATAATTCAGAGATACTTTACTGCATCTGGAATGCACAAGTTTATTTGTATGGAGAGCCATAAAAGTGCAAAAATCTCTACGGAATCTGAAATCTCACAATTTATGACGCTAAGGTTATACAAACAGTCTGGAAACTAAGTGAAAGAAAACAGTGTAAGATATGGAATCACATCTGCTGTTAAACTGATTTATTATTAAGTACGGTTGTACTACCAGCATCATTAACCAAGGGAGAATCACATTGCAAGAGAATGAGACAAAAAAAAAAGAAAAAAAAAGAAAAAGCAAATCTTTGTCCATCTCAGTAGAGGGGGGAAAAAAGTTATCTATCCATGGAAAATGAAGGTTCTGTACCCAATTGTTTTTCACATATGTGAAGGAAGGAGTCACCCGAGCTGCGTTGCATCAGTGAGTTAATGCAGTTACTTGAGGTAACTGGAGTTCCTTGGACTTACTGGAACTTAGGTTGAAAACACACAACACATCCAGAAATACATTAGGATTAAAAATAATGAATTTTTTGCATATTTGTTAAAAAATTTAATTAAACGATTGGGAAGATGTTCCTGCTTATTGCAGGGGGGTTGGACTAGATTAAGTACGGTTGTACTACCAGCATCATTAACCAAGGGAGAATCACATTGCAAGAGAATGAGACACACACACACACACACAAAAGCAAATCTTTGTCCATCTCAGTAGAAGGGGGGAAAAAGTTATCTATCCATGAAAAATGAAGTTTCTGTACCCGATTGTTTTTCACATACGTGAAGGAAGAAGTCACCCGAGGTGTGTTGCATAAATAAGTTAACACAGTTACTTGAGGTAACTGGAGTTCCTTGGACTTACTGGAACTTAGGTTGAAAACACACAACACATCCAGAAATACATTAGGATTAAAAATAATGAATTTTTTGCATATTTGTTAAAAAATTTAATTAAACGATTGGGAAGATGTTCCTGCTTATTGCAGGGGGGTTGGACTAGATGACCTTTAAGGGGGCCATTGCAACCCTAATTGTCCTATGATTTTATGACTTTTATAACAGAAACAAAAGCAACAGCAATAGGAAATCATCAAGTGCATACTGAAACGTAATGTCAACTGTTTATAGGTGAACATCTTTGAGGTCACATGCATTGTAAAACGTAAGCATAACATGTTTCATCTTGATTTTACTTGGGAAACCACCTGTTAATGACCTTCTTAAAGGAAATGCACGTGCACACATGGACTCTCACAGAAACTTCAGTTATCATTCCAGAGCGACAGTATTCTGCAACTACTACAAAGTGGAATATATTCAGAAAGCTTCAAGAACTGCATCATTGACCAAAAAGCAATTTAAACCCATGACTCATTTATTTTAATTTGAGAACAGTTTCCCCACAGAACATATCGGGTTTGAAGAACTTACAGATCCCTGATGTTTTTAAAAGAACATACATTATTTGAAATTTTTTATACAATACTCTATATATTCCAAAACATTAAGTGACTGTGTCTTAATTAGTCACACAAACAACAAAAATTATCATTTCAGGTAGCACACATCAACTAAGAGCTGCTTTAAGGCTTTTAGGGAGGTTTTGACTAATTTGCAGGCCAAAATGAGGTGTGGGGCTCTTCTGTGCTAGCTGTGACAAGCACAGCAGCCTGACAGCAGGGAAGTGACACACACGGAGGGGAAGTGATTTACTTTCTGCCATCCAGAGAGTCAGTACAGAAAAAAGCATCAATCCCCAGTTTCCACCTCAGACTAGTTCACTGTTTACTGGAGAATAAAGAGCTGACAACCAGGGACAATACTTAACGTGGGTTTGTCTATATTCCTGCGAAATGACTGTTCAAAGGACCTAACAATTTTATTACCTTCCTGTCTGTGCTTCTGATCCTGCAAAGCTTAAGCTCATTTCACATTTCTTACATTATCTGTAGCAGTTTTGCAGCCAGCTGGCAGTAATGAATGCTAAGGCATGCTTCAATAAACCCCACAGACGCAAAGTAATGCCGCTTACCTCCATGAGGAAAAAACTGTGCATAGATCTGTTTGAATGTTTCTTCATTAACAACCCCACTAGGACACTCCTGTTGGAAAATCAAAAAAGAAAAATCAAGGAAAAAACCCCAGCTCTATAAATGTTCATTTGGAAAACTCTACAAGCCCGAAGAGAGCAATTAAACAAATCAAATTCCTGTTCTCACAGTGCTCTGGATGCACAGGCTGCGCAGCTGAAGACATTAAAATAATTCAGACTGCAATTTCATCTTAAGTATCTCATAGACTTGGTTCACCATTATTAACATTTTTAACAGCGTTTTCAGCAGTGTCTAATCCCTGTTTTATCGGATGACCCAGAAAGGGAGTTCATGCCTTTTGTCATCCAAAGCTCTCATCCAATAATTACAAATAATGGTACTGCCAGCTAACACCTCCCTGTCGAATGCCTCCACATATATGAATGCATTAATCCTCAGCAGAAGACTGCAGCCAGATACCTGACAGCAGCTCCATGGAGGCCAACGGTACATACTATACTCGTAAGTCCTTACAAACAAGCATTAGTATTAGGCAGAAGAAGACTACATCCTTTTTAACCTGTTTATCTGATCAATCTTCTGTATTCTTCTGAGAAGCCAGAATTTTCTAATTTTCCAACCCGGCAAACTGCACCCCTGCAGTTTTCCTAACCTGGCAACCTATGGGGTTATTTTATTTTTAAATGTAAGGCATTTCATTTCACTTTTGGCTGCTTTGAATAAGGGCAAACACTTAGGGAGGTGGAAGATTTTCTGCCCTAAGCTTCCTGACCTACTAACTAGTGTTCAGGAAAAGGAGAGTACTCGTGCTTGCTCTGCTATGGCCCATGAAAATCCAAGCTGTAATGGTAGTTTGGGGTGGGAGATGCTCCCTGGGGATATTTGCAGAGTCTGGGCAGCACCTGTGAAAAGGGAGACGTGGCAGCTTCGAGGAGCTGAGGTGCTTTACCCTGTAGTTATACCCAAACTGAGGTCCTCACATCTTCCCCAGCAGGATGTGGGACCACAGGCAATAGAACAGATGGGTGACAAATGCCACAAGAACTGTCTCTCCATTTTGTGAATCCTGCTTCCTTATTCTCAACTCTTTTTAGAAACTTAATTTGGACAATTTAAGTAAAATTCAGGAGCAAATTTAGCTAACTACAGTGTTTTCCCACCCCCCCAGCAGCTCAGTGCTGTTATAACGCGTGCTCACGTACCAGAGAGTGCCTCAGGCACTGCCATCTGACTATGTGAAATTTTCAATTACACAGAGCATTTCCCAGCTGACAACACTCTTCCTCACAAATTTGACTATCAACCAATTCTGAAAACTAAAACAGAGTGAAACAATGACATGTCCACAGCACTGATCCTTTTCCTCAGAACACAGAATTACAGATATAGAAAAGTCCACTTTCTCCTGCGTTCAGAAATATCCCCGGCAGAGACACCCCACGCTCTCTTGCCTGCTGCAGGGAACAGACAAACAGCTGATCTCAAACCTTTTCCTACCAGCCACTTGTGATTTGGTGGATGTTCCCTTCATTATCTCTTTTCCAGGCTGAAGCATCCTCTCTTGAGAAGCACAGAAGGCACCAAGTGTCCTTTGACAAACCCTTCTCTGTATCTTTCCAATTCCACTGTACACTTTTGGAGATGGCAGTCCAGGACTGCACACCACGTTCAAGATGCCTTCTAAAGTAATGGAAATTCATTTAAAAGTTCATTCTTCTGTGCTAACGCATGTAGGAAGGCCATGCCTCTGTGCAGAGTGAGGTGTTGGGGCAGCACAAGCAAGCTTGGGGATGAACGTAAATGGGTTGAAAGAGCACAGAGCTGCAAGAGCCTTTACATCCAAAGACAGTACCTCCATATTATACCTCCTGGAATGCTCTTGGGGTGGAAATCCCTTGATCTCCCTATAATTCCGTGCTTAGCCTGGACTTGCAGAGCAGGCCTGGGAGTGCATGTCACAGCCCCCAGCAGGTTTGCAAAGCCAGGCAGACACTGGTGCTGCTGTAGTTACTCCCCTGCCAGAGGTGCACACACTTGCCATGTGTTACACCCCACTCTGCAGGAAGACAAATGCTGAGAATTACAGCTTGTTGAATTTGAGATGAGTAAACTATAGGAAGTCTAAGAGAATCCCTTTGAACTGGTGACACAGAAAGCTGGGGAAAGATTCAAGTCCATGATTTATTTATTGATGAGTTCTTTAGATACCTTTTAAGAACAAAAAGGACTTTGACAAGAAATTCTTCCACCATGAAAAGTCTATAAAGGTAAAAAGGCTTCTTTCTTCAAGCCTCTGATCTGCCGGCATCCCCCACTGCTGATGTGTATTCACTAACCACGGAAAAGGACAGAACAAACAAGAGAAATCACTTTATTCTGTGCAAGTCACAGAAGGAGAGCCATGAGGGGTACTTCAGGTGACATCAGAGGCTGTTCTTAATCACATACCTGTTCACTATTGAAATTAGGGTGATTAGATCAAGCTCCTTCCTCAAATGCAGAAGAAATCCTGCTGTTTTCTACTCACTATTTGGGTAGAAAACCATCAGTGATTTGGGAGAGATTTAAGCTAAGTAAAGGATAATTCATTGCTTAAAAAGCCCTGAAATTATCTTTCAGTCTGTCTTCATGACCTGACAACTGTCCTTCTACTGGGTAGGCTTAAGTGTCCCAAATAAAACCCAAACCTGGCACTGGGTCTTGACCTTGCCAGGGTGATCCCTTCTCCACCACTGGTGTTCAGGGCTTGATCCACAGCAAGAGGGTGAAAAGACCAGCTGGACTATCTAAAGCCCATGGCTGCAGGACCAGACTTGGTTTTCCATTTACAGACAACATTAACTAAGCTTTCTAATTCTGTACAGCAGAATTCCTGGTTAGATAAGTACCCTCAAAACATTCCAAAGCTCCTAATAAAATAGCCACTTCCAGGTTTCTTTGTGATGAGAAAAGTGGTTACTTTTTCATCTCTTCATGCCACTTCTAATAAGCTAGAAAGCATTAAAAGAAAAATAGATAATATAAGGTAAGAGCTAACATAAAAATATTCTCCCAAAGTTCATGTTTCCTAAAGCTTGCAATCTAAAGTATGTTAAATAAATATTCTAGTATTTATTTCAGGTATTTTTTAATCATAGATCAGACCAAGTACCCCATCAACAGCCCATTCTTCCGGTAGAAATTTTCTCCTTGGTCACTGGAGCGCTGCTACTCCAAGACCCACATTGGTCAAATACTGTGAAGTTCTGCAGAGGCCCAAATTGTCATTCTTTTTAAAACCAGATCTACCAGAGCACCTAACCACCCTTTCCAGTATAGCACTACTGGCCAAAAACACTCAGTGAAGATGTATTCCTTTCTCTCATCTTGATAAATGCAAGTATTCTATTCACAGAGGACCATCCCTTCGCTGCTTGAAGGCAGTCTATAAAGGTAGGAACTGATCATTATTTTCTCTACACGTTCCACAACTGCAGAGTCCCTTGGACCAATTCCAAACTATATTAATAGCCCGTGTTCACGAAGAGCCCCAGCCCACCACTACCAACCCTGAGAACGAAGTCTAAGTCTGCAAAGGGCAGGCACAGAGGAGGCTGCTGCTGCAGGCACTCTCCTCACAGAGGCAAGGTCTCCCATAACAGTTTTGGCCATTGAAGTCTAAGTCTGTGAAGGGCAGGCACAGAGGAGAGGCTGCTGCTGCAGGCACTCTCCTCATAAAGGCAAGGTCTCCCATAACAGTTTTGGCCATAGTGCCTGATTAAATTTTCTGCATTTCCACATGATCCTTATTGCTTCTGATGCTCCATCTGGAAGCCAAATGAAAGTTTGCATCAAACCTCCAGGAGCGCTGGGGAGAGGCAGCGCTGACATTGATCAGCCTGTTTAGCTCTCTATAACTGGATTGCTTTCAGACACATATGCTAGTACCAATTCATTTGTACTTAATTGATCACAATTTTGTTTTTATAAGAGTCAAATAATGCTCAGGAGGCCTCATTACTGCTACAGTACGACTCAATACAGCTGACTCAAAAGAAATCCCTCTTGTGAAAAGGAGCAGGTAAGCTTAGTGTCAGTTTAAATTCCACTGAATATAACAAAGGTTTTACTCATTTAAGAAAAATTTCTTGGCAGTATAAAAAAGCGTGGTCCTACTCCATAACATTCATAAGGCCTGTCTTCGATGGCAGAGGGTTAGATTTCAGGGAAATACCTCTAATTTCTTTAACCTATGAATTCTTTTAAACATCTAACAAGAACAGTGAACATTTTTTGTCTTGTCAAGCATGAAAACAACCCCTCATTTTCAAAAAGCTAACTATATCAGGCATTGGCAGCATGAGTGATGCATTGAATCTACCCTCTCAGACTTCTTTTAAATACTAAATCACAAAGGAGCTGAATCCACAACAAAAAAAAACCCACCTCAAACAAAGTTGCACTTGCTGTTCTTTCTTCTGCTGGAATCAGAAATTAGCTTCATTTATTGCTTTCAAAGACGTGCAATGTGGGCAAGCAGGCAGCAGCAGCAGAGCTGAAGTGGGGCTGAATACAACCTGCCCATCAGACTGTTCCCAGCTCACTCTGCTGGTAAGTGGAAAGCAGCACTCGAGGGGTCACAGTTTGCTAAACTAGAGGTATGAAGTTAAGTGACCACAGACAGACTCTACCATATTCTCCTTCAGGAGACACAATCCGGATTTGCCTCTCTAAGCACTCACACATTCCGCATATTTTGTTGCTCTTACTACGTTCTCCCAGTTTGAAGATATTTGGGGGGGGTTATGGAAGTATCAGGACGATTTTCCCTTCTCATACTGCTTGCTTTAATCTCAAAAAACCTGGTTTCTTACAGATGATTACATCTGATACTAAAATCCATTACAGATGTGCTGAAATTCACACCAAAGCAAGGTAAGAATGTCTCCAACAGCACCTCACTTATTTGCATTGTCTGTTTTCTGATTTAATATTAGAAAATTATCCCTTGCCGCTAGCAACCATTTCCCCTAACAGCACAGAACTCACAGAATTGAACAAAAAAATCCCATTAAAATCCCAATCCTTTTAAATCCATGCACACAATTCCAAAGCATTCAAGTCATTAGAAAAATGGTCTAAATGGGAGATATTAATTACTAAGCTCAAACCTCTGTCATTGTTGGTCACTTCATCAGTCATCAATTTATCAATTTTCATCTTAAAAATAGTTTCTCATTCTCCTCCCTCCCATTCCATAACCGTTCCCCAAACTTTACTCCTCTGGGGAGTGGAAACTCTCTTCTAATCCCAGCTTATGCCTATTCATGACCATTTTGTTCCCATGCCAATATTGCCTTTCAGCTGAAACAATTCTCTCGCCTGATGTGTTACAGTCAGAAAGTATCGCATTTTTTTTATTGTTAAACTAAAGCAAGGCAAGATCCACCTGAGGTTATGCTGGTTTTTGCCACCTCTGTTGCCTTGCTTTTGCAGAGCCAAAAAGCAATCAGGCCATATACCTCGCGTTCATCTGGCTCCAGGCTGAGAGCAGCTACCTCCAAGGTACAAAATAGACACAACACCGAGTGCACCTTGGGGACAGAGATAACTGCTAAAATAAAAGTGAACTTTTGGTCCTGGCATCAAGAGATGCTGGGGGATGGCTACCTTTCACAACTGGAAAAGAAGGCTGAAGGCAAAGAGAGAGGGGATATTTGGCCAGGCAGCAAGGACTCTGGCCTGGTTAGTGTGCTCTGCTTCTCTGGAGCAGCAAAGGATCTGAATTTCGGGGAAGCCTCCATCAGTCTGGTGCAGAAACACCAGGCCTGTCCAGTGACATGCTGGGAAGAGACTGGGAAGGCTTGGAGAGAGTGGGGAAACAGATTTCAGAGACGAAGAAAGAGCAGGAATAAAAGGACTAAGAATTAGGACCCTGGTCAGCCAGGGCATTAGTCCAGAGGCCACCCCAGGCTGCACCAAACTGCCTTTGGTCAAACACCATCTCCCATCACAAACACCAAACTGCCTTTGGTCAAACACCATCTCCCATCACAAACACCAAACTGCCTTTGGTCAAACACCACCTCCCATCACAAACACCAAACCCTCAGCTCCCAAAATAGACTATTCCACACAACGCCTAGTGCACCTTGGGGACAGAGATAACTGCTAAAATAAAAACGAACTTTTGGTCCTGGCACCAATAGATGCTGGAGGACGGTGACCTTTCACAACTGGAAAAGAAGGAGGGACATGCTGGGAAGAGACTGGGAAGGTTTGGAGGGAGTGGGGAAACAGATTTCAGAGACGAAGAAAGAGTAGGAATAAAAGGACTAAGAATTAGGACCCTGGTCAGCCAGGGCATTAGTCCAGAGGCCACCCCAGGCTGCACCAAACTGCCTTTGGTCAAACACCACCTCTCATCACAAACACCAAACCCTCAGCTCCCGTGACTGCGGCCACGCTGAGCAGGGCCTCCTCTCCCTGTGTCCATTACATGTGCCTGCAAATGGCTCTGTGATTATCCAGGTGTTGCCTCATGATTAAACAGGACCTGTACAATCACCGAGAGCAAACAGTAACCTCAGCTCCTGTGACTGCGGCTCTGTCCATTACATGTGCCTGTAAATGGCTCTGTGATTATCCAGGTGTTGCCTCATGATTAAACAGGACCTGTACAATCACCAAGAGCAAACAGTAAGTACAAGGCAGAGAGAGGAAAATGACTGTATTCCCACAGGGATTTTGAATCTCCAGATGGCACTGTAACATCATCCCCAAAAGCAGACGGTTCAGTACTGTAGCAAATATGGTAACAGCTGAGTCAGTTTGCCTGCTGTGCATAATTACCCATCCCATTGAAACCATGATTTACAGGCTACAAATGCTAAAGCTGCCCTTTCATTTCAATTTAAACCTTAGATATTAAAGCTTCACGCACATTGTGTGCAAGGCAGCTGGAAGAAAACAGACTGCTTTGTCCTAACAGCCCGATATCAAACAAGATGTTGCCAGCACCACCAATTAATACCAAGACCTTCAGTGAGGTTGTAGGAAAGGGTTTTGGTCACAAGTTAAACGCACTTGTCTGTCATTCTTGCCCTGGGAGGTAATGCCTCTGTACTGCAGTGATAGCACAACTGGGAGGGACAAGGGGTAGATGTCATGTCTGCTGAGAGCAAGTGATATAACAATTGGGAGGAGCAAGGGGTAGATGTCATGTCTGCTGAGAGCACGGCAAGGCTGCCTCTGTTTGCCTTTGTAGCTGCTGGCTCCTATCAGCACAGAGCAGTGCTCTCCCACACAGGATTCCCACCAAAGGCAGCAACACAGAAGGCATTTTTCGGAGATCTTAGCAAAACACAGTGCTTAAGAACTCTCCGGGTTTATTCTCCCACTGTAGGCAGCCCTGTCACATTACCCTGTACAGCAACCTGTCAAGCTCTGTCTCAAAAGCCATAGGATTTCTTGCTGAGTGCCCAAAGCATGAAAAGGTTTCAAAATAGCAGTCTTCAGTGGTTAGAAAACTTCACAGAGGAAACAACCTCCTCTGCACAGCAAAGGCTGCACAAATACAACACAAACAGAAAAATAAAGCTAAGCTATGCCTTGGCCCACTTAAGTGAGTGGTGAAATAAAGGATGAAACCACCAGAGTCCTTGGAGAAGTCAAGTATACACTGCAGATGTGATTCAATCTCATCTCAAGAATCTGTCAAAAAGAAAGGCCTTTTTCAGTGTCCAGCAGGTTTGTCTCAACACTGCCTGTATTTAGGGTAGCTCAGCTTCATTTTGGGTATTTTTACCCAGTAGACTTGACCTTCTCTTTCCCAGAAACGTCAGCACCTCACTGTGACAGTGGCTGAAACACTGGAGCAAGACAATTTAAAATCCACACTGTGTTCATTGAACTGGCTTGATACAGATCTATTAATCACCATGAAAACATCAGCTGGCACGAACCACCTGGGTGACTAAATCCAGACCCTGAGGCAACCACGTAATGAGTATTAATTCTTAAAGGTCCATAAAACATCTGCTCCACGTAGCCTCAAAGTTCCCTGTCCTGCAAGACAATTTAAAATCCACACTGTGTTCATTGAACTGGCTTGATACAGATCTATTAATCACCATGAAAACATCAGCTGGCACGAACCACCTGGGTGACTAAATCCAGACCCCGAGGCAACCACGTAATGAGTATTAATTCTTAAAGGTCCATAAAACATCTGCTCCACGTAGCCTCAAAGTTCCCTGTTTCTCTTCATTCTGATGAGTCCCTGTGAGGCAGCAGAGGTGACCCAGAAGCTGAAGCTCACGCAGCTGCAGACTCCCTGCTCCCAGGGAGAATCTGGCTGGAAGGATGGGTCACAAAGAGGAGCACGGTGCTGTTCTGTGCATACAGTCATGCCAGCTGGCATGGTCCCTGCTTTCACCTAAGTCTATAGTCTCCCTCTTGTCTCCTCAGTCTTGATATCCATTTACTTTTGATTTCTTTTTGGCTCCTGCCACTCCAACCTTATTCCCTACCTTACGGTCCTAATGAGCTTTAATAACATCCTACTACAAGAATAAGATTTCTCCAGGTAGAGAAAGGATAAAAAAAACCCATCTTGGGTAGCTAATCGCAAGCAAACAGTACTGCTCATATCTGAACATGAGGAACTGACAGCAAGAATTAAATAAGTAACCAAAAAAAACATTTTCAAGTTATCCTTGAAGTACAGGCCCAGTGAAGGAAATTGCAGTGTGCTTACTGACATTTGGGGAACATGTTGATGTGAATATTCCGTGCCAAATATTCACCCAAGCCCAGTTTTAGGCAGATTACGGTGTCATAAATATTAGATGGAGAGACAGATTGTGCTCATTTTTCTATGGTAAGGGAGTTCTAGCATAAAACTCTTAATGTTTAGCAGGGGAATGATACAAAATGCAGCTGAGCAGTAGAGGCTGGTGGGGGACAGACATAGTAGACTTGGTTCACTACAGTGCTGTTCTTACATTTTTAAATCCTCTGTAAAGCACTTGAAGTTCTCTTTTAGTGAAATTGGTTTGTGCTTCAAGCTGTTCCAGTCCCTCGGGTCTATGGCACACCGTAGTCATTTCTAATTCATCTTCAATTTTATCTGAAAGAGAAGACAGGAAAATATTTATTTTGGTTGTTACCTTTGCTCTATTAACATGATGGATAGGACAGACTGGATTTCAAGAGCAGTAAAGAAAAAAGAAACCATCAACAGAACTCATCTGTGTGACTGTTTTCAACCTCTTAAAAGCAAAATAAAAGCCGTATTAGTAAAGCAATAGCTCATATTTCTTACTGGACTGCCAATTAGCACCCCCATTAACAAAGCCAAAATTGGGAGTGAGAACAGAAGGGCAGGCAGCAGATATGTTGCTCCAAAAGGCAACACCAGATATTTCTTTTCTAAATATTGAACCAGCATGGAGGAATAGGCCTTTCAGAGTACTAGCTTTAAAAAAAAGCTGTGCAAATATAAGTGAGAGAGCAGACATGCTTAAGCATATTAGACAACCACATTATGCTGAGGGTAAACAGTGAGGGAAACTCTTCTGTGTGCTAACCAAAAAGCTTGTTACAGAGACACTAAAGGTCACTTTAATCCTAAGAGAAATTCAAACGATGCCCTTAGGTGCTGAATCTGGAATGAATCCAGCTTGCATTTGTGTGGACTTTTTGGCGAAACAGATAAGCAACAAAAAATACTTATGTGCATTTTATTCAACAGATCGCTCACTCTCCCACAAGGAAGAAAACCACTTGAGACATATCCCATCCTGCATTACTGTAATCTCACTTTTTTTTTTTCTGCACTTTTTTCCTGTCAAGCCCATTTACCCAGCAGCATAGGTAATACCAAAATTGATACAGAAGCTTAGCGTATGTCAGTTTGAGAGCCTTTAAACTCCAAGGACCAGATGCAGGTTTGAGCTGATGTGAAAATCCCATCTTCATCCAAAAGTTGTTTGGCATAAAAGGCTAACACTTTCCTTATTATCAAAACCACACAACTTTTCCCCTGCAAAAATGTTTTAGGTTATTGGGCTCAAGTATTATATAGTAAATTCCTTCTGAAAAGCAAGGATTTCAGAAGAAGGGCACAAGGAAATGGAGTCACTCTAAACAGAGGAAAGGCATGAATTCAGAGCAGAGTGGCTCAGTGAAAGAACAAATTAGAATAAAGCTATCTTTTCATAACTTAGCTTTATTCTGTACATATACATGAAGGTGAAGGCAGAGCACACATCAGTGAGTCATAATGGTTGATTAACATTGGTTCATTATTTCAATATTAAGAAATCAGTTTGAAATACTGGTGAATTCAGGATGAGCCATCCTCCTAATCCTCTGTGCCTGGAGTTTCAAAATCCTCCTAATCCTCTGTGCCTGGAGTTTCAGTCAGCATTTGTGGGGCTTGAGCAGTGAAAATACACATGTAAATACTATTTCTCAAGGGAGAACAGTATTGCACAGCAAGGGAACAAAGGTAAGAGACAGCATGGGACAGAATGAGAGTATCACAACCATTTATGATGCAAAAAATAAATTACTAAACACTGGCAAGTGGCCAGAAAAGGTCTGAAGGAGACACCTTTTCCACATGAAGGGGACATGAAGAGTCTAGAAAGTATAGCTCCTGTTAGAGGAAAGCTAAAAAGGATGTCTGCTACCAGAAAAAGAACAGATAATGTGAGATTAGGGGGAAAGACAATTTTCTTTCAAAGAGAACACGTCACAAGATGAAGGAAATGCAGAAGAAGCTGTAGAGAGAAAGAAAAATGTGGGGAAGAAATTCCTTAAAATGAGGGAAGGGGAATGAGTTGTTAAAAAAAAAAAAAAAAAAAAAAAAAAAAAAAAAGAGGAAATCCATTTAGAAGGAAGCCAGGTTAGGAAGACTCAGCACCATCCATACATTGTGTAGGAAACCACTTGTTTACCTTTGGTTAACCATAAGTTAGCTAAACCCCTTTATAAAATGCATGTAACCTCAGACTCCCTCCCCTGCGTTTCCCTGCTGTCCCTCAATGCAATAAGCAGTTTACACACGACCTCGACAGTTGTTTAGTTTTTCCATAGGGAGCCATACGTTTTGCAGTGTGTTGAACAGCAGGAATTAGGCTCTGGGCTTTTCTCTCCTCTCTAATATGCCCAGTTTTTCACTGACATTTCCTGTTGATGGAGTCACTCTAAAGTTATTTAGAACTTCAATCATTGTAAAATCTAAGTGTAAAACAGTGGCCATCTAGTCTTTATGCCCTGTAATATAATTCAACAGAGAGAAAAAAATAATAATCTATGCAACCTCACATAAGTGGTGAGTCTAATGAGGGAAGCCAGCCTGTTGGATTACTCATACTTAGCTTTATTGATATTCCTACGATGTGGCTGCTCACGTGGTTTCTACAGAGGCAGGAAAGATCCAGCTGAGAAAAGTCACGCTCTTTGCAAATACATTTTTATATGACTAACTTCTTTGTGGGTATTTTATTTGCCATGTACTTCTGAAGCAACTATTAATCCAAAACACTTATTGGAATTTGTGTTCGAGTTCTAAAAACCAAGTAATTAAAGAAAAAGGTCTCGCTCACAGAAAACTTGCGCTATAGCTCCGTGATAGTTTTAAACAAAATCTGCAGAATTGAATTTCGAAACTTAGTTCTTTGGCTTATCCAGATGTCTTTTATATGAGCGGACCCAAAATTAGGGTGTTGGAACTATTTTTTAAAAATATGCTTGAATAAAGTATTACTTGGCGAACATTGTAATTTAATAATGATACATTGTCTTTCGACAATACTAGCCTCATTCAATGAATCATTATTTCAAACGAGTGCAATTCATCTTCTTCAGCTTGTCCTGCAAGAATAGTTTTTTCCAACAATCAGTTTATGAGCCTTGGGTCCCACAGGGCAGATACTTCTATGTTAAAAATAAGCCAGATTATTGTTGCAGATTTGATTCCATTTCCCATGCTGAGAAACGTGGCTCTTTTCTTTAAAACAAGCTGCAGAAAGGAAATTATGAAAAATTCATCCCTTTCAAAGTAACACACTATTTTTTCCTTCCTTTGTCTATTCCAGAGCCAGCATTAATCTGAGCCTCTGAAGAACATCTGATGGTTCCCTACAGGTTAATCCTTTCATCTGCTTCCCCTTCCTTTCCTAAGGGAAAGGTTTAGAACTTAGCAAAAAAACTTGTGAAGCTTTAGATCTGGCCGAGGGGGCACCCAAAATTACACCAGATCAACAAGTGTCCAGTAAAAACACTGTAAAAATTAAAGAAGTTGTTCCTTCAGTGGAACGTGCCCCGACACAACAGAGTAGACCAGGGCTTTTCCTGGAGCCTCACTGCAGAAAATACAGGAAAGATTTGATAGTTCTTCTTGTCTATCACTTGCCAACAAAGAACTACTTTCCAAGTAGTTTCCAAGTCAATAGTGCCCACCTCCACAAAGATTTTTTTTTTTCTCATTATTTGTTTCCTTTCACTGTTTTATCTTAACTCTTTTAAACCTTTTTCTTCTATTCTCTTGACACCCTATAAATTAACCGCAGTGACCTGAGTGGCAAAAAAGAAAACTCACTTCGTCATCCGCCCTTGTCTTTTATCATGTATATTGTATTTCCTCTTATTTACATTTTCATTATGACACTGGCTCAGTCCCTCCCAGCTCTTCAGGGATGTCACTGTATGAAATATGAGCCCTTGCATTTATATTAAACTGAAGCTCACTTCATGGTGGCAAATGCAAGCAAAAGCGTGTATACACAGATACACATATGCAAATTTAAAGTTTTATTAGGAAAGCATGGTGTTAAGATATTTTATCTAATGTCATGTTCTTCCTCAGTGTTGCCTTGTTCACAGCTTGCTGAACACCCCCAGAGATTTTTGCGTGTGGGGAACAGGCACACCACTGGTTTGAAGTTAATTCTCTTCCTCAATTTGGAAGTGCACACAGAGCTAGGGACTGACTGCAGACACTGCCAGGGACGCGGTGGTCACCTCCCCAGCTGAGGTGACACGTGTGACAAGGCACAGCAGAGATGAGATACAGCTGTTGCTTACAGCATCCCTTCTGAGCTGGAACCAAGACCAGCCCTGCTTGGAGGAGACATCCACCTCAGAGTCTGGGTACCATACACCCAGTTAGGGAGAACTTGAACCTTAGCAAATAGGTCCACATTTATTATTATGGATCTCAAAGAAAGATGTTTTAATTTATCTTTTTTCTCTAGCACTTGTTGAAATCATCCCTGGATGAACCCTTTCCACCCCAGACAGCTGCAGCCAGTTGTGTCCTCGTCTTAAGTTCACCTACACTGTTTAGCTGGTGCAGAACACACTCGAGCATTTGCTAAAGTGTTTTTCTTGCAGTGGGTTTAAAACTGGAGAAATGGGAAGTAGCAATTTCTGATTTAGAATTTGCCTCTGGCCATATTTTTTTATGGCTGCTTTAATAGCAGGGTATGAAGTCTGGGTCTGGTAGAAGCGCCTGTGGTAATCTTACTCCAAAGTAGATCCAGATTACAATCGTTAGTTAATTTTGCATTTTTGTGGAAAATATCATTGGTATTTGCTTAGCCCATAGGACAGGCACATTTTGAGTATCAAACAAAATAAACAGTGGCTTCACTTTACAAAGAAAAATAATCCTGGCACACTTGCGTGCACATGCATATTTTATGGATTGTTGCTAATGAAAGATATTGTATTTCATTTCTCTGCTGCTTGCTCAAGAGCAGAGAATGAATTTTCATTAGAGTAGATCAATATTTTAACTGAATACACTTTAGAAATTACTTAATGGGGCTTGGTTTATACATCCTTTCGTATTTGTTCTAATTTTACCTTTTGTTATCTTTACAATTTGAAGATTTCCATACTTTCCCTGCCTGCAAGTGGCCCTGTGGTTTACTACTGTAAACTTTCCTGAACAGAATTTGCATTTCTCCAAGTGATAAACTGGAGTAATTTCAGCCTATTCATGTGAAAGCTGTCTTGTACATCTACGTGCCTACAAAATTGCTTCATCATTGAGGAAAACAGATTTCCAATCACAGCTGTCTCCCAGCAGAGGGACACAGTCCTCCTCTTACCCAT